CGTTGATGAGGCAAAGAGGTCAATTTTTAATGTTGAATTATCTAGTGCAAATCAATGTTATACGAACTCAGCTCGTGATGCGATCGAAAATATGATGAGTAGATCATTTAAGTGCAAAATCTACGATGAGCAAACAGGTATGAATTTATTCACTCCTTGTGTTTACAGAAGCGCGTCTTTTTTGAGGATTCTGGGTGAAAATCTCCGACGCTGTGCATATCATTCAAAATTGTCTGGATGTTAATAATCTACTATGTATATGTGAACATTCGATAAGTGCTTTAATCATTTATTATTTTGAAAATAAGAACAAAACGCTGTCTCAACTGTGTACTCCTGAGACAGCAATTGATAATGTTATCAAAGACAAGCTTCAAGCAGTTATAATTTCGTTACCAACTAATTTCGACTTAAACACAAACAGTGAAATTAATAAACTGTCGTTCGAGATACACACTTACGAACAACAAATAAAATTACACCGTAAAGAAACTGTTTTGGTTGTTCTTGAGCAACAACGAATTCTATTATTTGGGTTAAAAGATATCGTCGAGGATGTTAGCAAAGAATTTGAAAAAATAAAAGAAAAACATGAAACAAAAGATATTAAATTGAACTTAAAATCGCATCAGGTAACAAATTTCATACACCGATGAATACATTTTTGTAGAATTTTATAACGCTTAGGGAAGGTAAGCTAGATTCAACATTTGCATCATAAAGACAAAATATCAGAGAATTGTGCGAGGCAAAAAGTTTACAAATGAAACATCTGAGGACATTACATTTAAGATGAAACAAACAAAAGTTTTGTTTAGATCAAATATTTATTAAATATCTGTCGGACGGAATTAAAACAAATTGAAGATAAACATGATGGTGTGATTATCAACGATCATAAGTTATCAAACGGTGAATTTTGTACGCCAAATTATTTACGTGAAACAATTGAATCAAAAATTGGTGAATTAGCAAAAGTCAATAACCCAATAACCTATAATATCTCAAAGCGAGGTTTTAGTACACTTGCTGAAAAAAATAAGAAAAAATTAATCGAAATTGGGCAACACAGCAAGTGCTATGTCGAAATTCAAGTACAAACAACAAATATAACCTATACCATTCCAAAAGCAAATAAATCAATTTCAAACACAACTGAAGTAACACCGATGCCTGTATCGTCGTCTGTTACCATAAAAGGTGGGACAGTTAATATTTGTATCGGCGACTTAGGAGCACACCAGGTAAAATATATAATCTTCGAATTCTAGAAGCATAAGCTATAATTATTTGATAAGGTTGATGAGATTGTTGTGTCTTCGTCTTCCAATATATTAAGACAAAATATTATTCAACAAGCGGGTGATACAGTGTTAAAAGAATATAAAAAGAAATCTCAGACAAACAGCAACTTAATTGAAACGAATGCGGGACAATTACCGTGCAAGAAGATTTTATTTTTACCCTGTGTTTTGGACAATAAAAACGAGGGAGCTTTGCGGCAATCGATACGTAGGTTTGTATCGAAGGCTATTCAGCATGTATTAGCTGCAAAGTATACCAGTATCGCTTTTCCAGCCATCGGCTGCGGTTTAATAGGATGTAAGTTTGATCTTGTGGCAAACGAAATGATTGAGGAAGCAAAGAATCAACTACTACAAATCAAATCAAATTTT